CCACAGGCTCAAGGAGGTTGGGGACTCCTGCCATCCACAATGAGGATTCACGCCATATTATCCGAAAAATCTGAAAAAGGGAGCTCTCGTTCCCAAACTTCACGCCAGAATTAAGAGTTGTTAGCTTCCAAGGCAGGGCTTTTGTTTTTGGGAAATGAGGCACTCAAGAGTGAAAGGAAGTTTTCAGTCTGTATACTGAACACTCGTGAACTTTTAAACATTTTTAAAAGAATTTTGTCAAAGAGGTCAGAACTCCATTCTGGCGCATCCCCTCAGGGGAAAAAAAAGCTGTGCTTCAAGTTATTTAAAAGGTAAAGGTAAAGGTTCCCCTTGCTCAAAAGCCAGTCGAGTCCGACTCTAGGGTTGCGGTGCTCATCTCCATTTCAAAGCCGAAGAGCCAGCGCTGTCCAAAGACGTTTCCGTGGTCATGTGGCCGGCATGACTAAACACCAAGGCGCATGGAACCACCAAAGTGGTACCTATTTATCTCCTTGCAATTTCTTGCTTTTGAACTGCTAGGTTGGCAGGAGCTGGAACTAGAGACAGGAGCTCACTCCGTCATGCGGCACACTCGGGTCTCGAACTGCTGAACTACCGACCTTCCACAGCCTGCAGTTCAGCGTCTTAACCACTTGAGCCACCGCAGCTCCACTGCTAATCATATAACTAACACAGTGAGACTCACACACAAGGCTGGGTCATAACAAAGCTATTTTATTGATTAACAAACACACCGTGTAAAACTTAAGTTGAGGTAACGGAGCAGCAGTGTCAGCATAACCCATTACTAAGTGAAACGTAATGGCAGATTCACCTCAGACACATTCCAAAATAGAACTGTGCCACATGGCTCCGGCGCACTTTCTCCAGCACATACAGTCTCATGAGTCACAAAAGTACATTTTCAATTTTATTGCTGCAGGGAGAATTGGACTATGCAATAGCAGTGGGTCGTCGAGGATGGTCAAATATGCCTCTGCTTCCCATACTTGGGCTGCGGTCACACGGAGCATTAGCCACACTACAGAGACGGGAGATAGGTGCATTTTCCAAGCGCGATCACAGCGCCACATCTGGGAAGCGTAGAGCTCCCGTGGCGAACCCGAGGCTTCCCACCGACGATGCGGGGTAAAAAACTAGTATGAATTTTATTGTTACGGCACCCAGCCAGCAAAGGTACTAGTTTCCAGAAACCGCAGGGCAAGGGCAGGCGCCTGATCACGTTTCCGGTGGTAGGTCGTGGCATCCGGCGCCCGCCCATGTCCCGTCGCTAAAAGGTTTTTTCCCCCAAGTCTCCACGGGATGCGCACCAAGCACCCAACGGCGCATGCACACACTTCGTTTAAAAACAAACAACACAGCCCCGTCCTCTTTTCCGTACCTCCCCCCCACTCCTGGCTCGGCCTGCTCGAGAGGAACTCTCTGCACTGGGCGGCAGAGGTGGAGGTGCAGAGGGGGCCTGGTGGGAGGGTGGCCCGGCTGAAGCTCCTCCGGGAGGGGACCGGATGGAGGACACAGTTTGCATTCCTCTGCAGCCCTGGAAGGGGTTAAACCCGCGGAGCCTTTTGCTAGAGAGGCCGCTTCTTTGCCGCGACGCGGGACTGTCCTGTGATTGGCACCTCCCCCCTAACCACGGGACCTCTACGGGACGTCTGATCGCACAACCGCGCGTTATTTTGCTCCGGGGGGCAAAGCCCCCCCCCCCCCCCCCCCCGCATTTTCCTGCCCGTTTGACCGGGGCCTTGGTTTCTTTTCAGCCATCAGTAGAAAAGCAACACCTGCCCTGTTTAAGGTTAACAATGAAGAAATTGAAATTGTTCAAGATTTTCTATTCCTCGGCTCCATCATCAACCATAAAGGGAGACTGCGACCAAGAAAATCAGAAGGAGACGGAGACTGGGAAGGGGGCAGTCATGAGGGAGCTAGAAAAGATCCTTAAATGTAAGGACATGTTGCTGGTGACCAAGATCAAATATTGGAGAAGAAAAGAAGTGCCCTCAAGGGAAGAAATTCTAAGGAAAATGTTGGAGACTGCTGAGATGGATAAATTAACTTTAACTTTGAAAGGGCGGCCAGAGACAATCTTCGAGGAAACATGGTCAAGATTTTATAACTGGCTGGAAGAATCCAATAAATAAGATAATACAGACCTACAATGCATTTTAAGGACATAAATACTAAGCTTTTTATAATGTGCAACGAATTTTTTATACAATGATACAAGGTGAATCATATAAAATAACATATGTTTAGGTGCGAGTTTTTAAATAAGAAATTTTAAGAAGATTTGGATACCCTCATTTTATGTTATGATTGTCATGTTTGTTTTGTCTTGAAAATAAAATTGTTTTGCAAAAAAACACAACTTAATTCACGCCACAGTCAATGTTCCCTCTAAGCTGTGGAGTCTAGTGAGCAAAACTTCTACATTGTGAGCTACCGACATTAAAGTTGTGAGTGAGCGATTTGGCTACTGCATACGTTAGTTTGCTCTGGAGCCATTCCTTCCTGAGCTAAGACAAAAATGTGTGAGCTGGAAGCTAAAAAACTGCGAGCTAGCTCACACTAACTCAGCTTAGAGGGAACACTGGCCACAGTATTCCCCATTACTATTTGTGGGTATGAAAGTTGGGCAATGAAGAAAGCTGACAGGAAGAACATTGATTCCTTTGAAACGTGGTGTTGGAGAAGTTTTACAGATACCATGCAACTCCCAAAAGACAAATAAGTGAGTTCTAGATCAAATGAAGAAGAAAAGGAAGAAGAGATTGGATTCATACCTTGCCTTTCATTTGGGAGTCTCAGATGGGCTTATAATCTCCTTTCCCTCCCCCTCGCCACAGCAGACACCCTGTGACGTAGGTGGGGCTGAGAGAGCGCTTTCTCGTGAGAGAACAGCTCTGAAGGAACTTGTGACTGACTCATTGTCACACCAGCAGCTGCATGTGAAGGAGTGGGGAATCGAACCCAGTTCTCCCAGATTAGGGCGTGTGCTTTTAACCACTACACCAAACTGGCTCTATCTCAAGCTGCAACATAAGATGGATTGCCTCAATCAAGGAGAGAACGCTTTGGAAGTCATTAATTCATAGGTCACCCGAAGTTGGAAGCCTTTGATAGCCTTTTAACACACACACACCAGTTTGTGGTGATGGACGTGACAGCCGCTCACAATCTCAAAACGGCCACTAGAGGGCAGCGCTCACTCATACAAGAGAGACAGACCTTGCTGAGTCAAACTTGTCATTTATAAAACGGAACCGCAGAGGCTACATGCCCCCCCCCCCCAATGCTGACTCATCCTATCGAAGCTAAGGACCATTCGAGATGTGCCTTTTTGTTTTGCAGATGGATTAAAGTGTTTTTACATTCTTAACTTTTCTCGAGAGTTCCACGTCATCACTCTACCTCTCCTTAAATCCCACCAACTCATCTTTTCGGTTCACCATTCACATCGCACCTTTTCACCTGCATCGTGAGTTTCCAGTTCTTCCAAATGCAAAAAAGAAAGCAAATCAACACAGAGACACTGCGGAAATCCATATAGCGGATAGAGCCTCTTCATAACCACACCGTCGAGACAGCATGGGAGAGATCTGGGTGGGACAGGTTTGCCCATTGACTTGCATGGGCTCCATTGAAATACATTACAAGTAAAGGTAAAGGTCCCCTTGCTCGAAAGCCAGTCGAATCCGACTCTAGGGTTGCGGTGCTCATCTCCGTTTCCAAGCCGAAGAGCCAGCGCTGTCCGAAGACGTTTCCGTGGTCATTTGGCCGCCATGACTAAACACCAAGGCGCACGGAACGCGGTTAACCGGCGGCAGCGGCGGCAGCGTGAAAGGTTCCCCCGCCTCCCTGAGCCCCGTCTTTCAGACGCGAGAGGCGTCGTTGTTTGGCACTAGAAGTCCAAGGCCATCCCCCCGGGGCTCAGGGAGGCGGGGAACCTTTGCCCCCCCCCGCCGCCGCCTGCAGCCATAACTTTTTAAAGAGCCCCTTAGAAGAGCTGGGGGGGGGGAGCCGGAATAACCTCTAGCGTCTGATCATCATGATAAATACTTGGTTATTATATAAAAAGACATTGCAAAAAGTAAAGGTCCCCTTGCTCGAAAGCCAGTCGAGTCCGACTCTAGGGTTGCGGTGCTCATCTCCGTTTCAAAGCCGAAGAGCCAGCGCTATCCGAAGACGTTTCCGTGGTCATGTGGCTGGTATGACTAAACACCGAGGTGCACGGAACGCTGTCACCTTCCCACCGAAGTGGTCCCTATTTATCTACTTGCAACAAAGATATAGATGGACCCCCCAATCTGCATGTATTTATGTTGTCCTTTGTTTGATGTAAAATAAAATTATGATTAAAAAAAAAGAAAGAAAGAAACCTTATGCCCAGAATTAACCTTCGTTGGCCTCAAAGGTGTCCCACTGCCCCTGGGCTCCCAACTTGGGAGATACATCGTCTTAAATCCTTAAGGAGCCACGGATTCCCCCTCGCCACAGCGGGAGGTGCGCGGATTCCTCGAGAATCCCTTGCCAAAGTAATGCAATTAAGGGTCTTTGTGCATAACGAGCATTTCTGCTCGAGCGCATCAGAGGCAAGCGCCGGAGCCCAATGCAAACCGGCGACGGCTCCGGCGCTTGCATCTGATGCGCTCGAGCAGAAACGCTCTTTATGCACAAAGACATTTAATTGCATTCAAGGAATCGATGCAGCAAGAGCTATTTGAAGCGCCCGCCTGTTCAGACCTTTGCAAAAATAAACACCCAACCTTTCCTCCGCCTCCTCGCACAGCCCCGCCTTTGCCTGCGTATTATGGGCTGTGTCCTGGGCGTGGAGGCTCCCTCGCTGCTTCCGCCTCCTCCTCCTCCCTGGATTGCACACGGAAGGTGCCCGTCTGCCGGCGCATCCAATGGGGCTGACGCGTGTCATGCGAGCGCCGGCGGGGCGCGGCTGGCGACGGAAGCACGTGAGGACGCGGCCGCGTCGAGTCGAGGGACGCGTCTCTTTGTGGTGGGGTGACTCGGGAGCAAGAGCCGCTACGCCGGGAGGGAGACTCGCACGTGTGAGCGGCGCAGCCCACCTCTGGGTAGGTTAAAGTTAGGGAGGCCAGTCTCCAGGTGGGACCTGGGGATCTCCCGGAATTGCAGCCCGTCTCCAGACTGCGGAGATCGGCTCCCCTGGAGACAATGGATGCTTTGGGAGGGGGGGGACTCTACCGCATTGCACCCTCCACTGCGGTCCCTCTCCTCCCCAGGCTCCACCCCCAAATCCCCAGGAGTTTCCCAGCCTGGATCTGGCAATATTTATCTTTCTATATCTGTCTCTCTATGTATCTCTCTATCTTTAGGGATGCCAGCCTCCAGGTGGGACCTGGGGACCCCCTGGAATTACAGCTCCCCAGGCTCCACCCCCAAATCCCCAGGAGTTTCCCAGCCTGGATCTGGCAATATTTATCTTTCTATATCTGTCTCTCTATGTATCTCTCTATCTTTAGGGATGCCAGCCTCCAGGTGGGACCTGGGGACCCCCTGGAATTACAGCTCATCTCCAAACTGCAGAGATCAGTTCCCCTGGAGAAAAGGGATGCTTGGGGGGGGACTCTGTGGCATTGTGCCCCCCACAGCGGTCCCTCCTCCCCCCAATCTCCAAGAGTATCACAGCCTGGAGGTGGCACCCCTACTCCCCTCCACACAGCTGGTTTCCGGGAGGGCCCTAGTAACCCTAGAACTAGAACTCAGGTTTACTCAGAGGTAAAGCATACGTGCCCAGTCAGATTGACTGACTTAGGCAGGATTGCAGCCTAGACTCACGAGGTTTGGGAAGTCAGACCTCTGGACTGTTTCTGTAGGGTGGCGGAAGCAGGAAGGGCCCCGAGTTTGAAAGAGGAAAGAGGAAATATTCAGATTCCTAGACCTTCCTTGCACTGTTTTCTTTATTTTTCCCCGGGGGTGGGGGACGAACATGGAGTTACGACTCGTATACAGATCCTGGTGATCTAACTGGGCCGACCTGGTGTACGTTTATCCCGTCCTTTCTCCGAGGGGCTCAGATCACTGATCGTGGTTGTTTGCACAACAGCCCTGTGAGGGGGGTGAGGCTGGGAGAGAGAATTATTTATTTATGGGCCGCCTTGCTCCCAGGGTCTCAAGGTGGGTCAATATGCTGAGCAAAATGGGACACTCAGTAACCAATGCGTTCGGATTTTAGAAGTCTGGAACCACCAGGAAGAACTGAAACATAGCAGGAGTATTCACATGTTGCATTAAGCTAGGATTACCATCAATGTCCCCTCTACGCTGTGGGGTCTTGTGAGCAAAAAGTCTGCTTTGTGAGCTCCTGGCATTAAAGTTGTGAGTGGGCAATTTGGCTACTGCATAAATTAGTTTGCTCTGGAGCCATCCTTCCTGAGCCGAGACAGAAATGTGCGAGCCGGAGGCTAAAAAACTGTGAGCTGGCTCACAGCAACTCAGCTTAGAGGGAACACTGATTACCATGTTTTAAATATCAAAAATACCATATCTTGAATATCAAAAAAAGAGGACGTATTTCCCGACTGACTGCTTCAAACAAGCGATCGCTCTGACAGATCTCATTTTAAATATCCCTCCTATTTAAGCTGTGATCATGGCTACTAACTAGGAATATTCCTAACCTTCCAACCCGTAAAGAGGAAATTTTCATCAGGTTGTGGGTTTTTTTTTTTTTAAAGAGCCTAAAAGAGGACGGAGACCAAAAAAAAGAGAACATGTCCTCTAAAAAAGGACATCTGGTAACCCTAATTAAGTTGTACAGCAATTACATGACAGGGTCCTACTTCTAATAAGCTGGACACAGCAGTACAGAATATCCCGAAGCCATCCAGTTAAGTTTCATGGCAGAGTGAAAATTCGAACCCGGGTCGCCCAGATCCTAATCCCAGACTGGCTCTCGTCTCATCTGGACACACCCTTCCCCCAATGAAATCCCAAACCTGCTACTTAACATAGAGATTTTAATGTCTTATTTTTTATTCCCCCCCCCAACAGTGTGTTTAGAGAAATTACATTTGTTTTTTTGCTTTTCTGCGACCAGAACAGCCATGTTTACATTGTTTGACTTATGCATGGGTAAATTCAAGAGCTGTGGTTCCAGAAAAATTTATACCTGAAGAAGATTTGTTCGAAACACGCAGGTTATGCCCGGGAGGCGTGTTGCTAGGCCTGCTTGCTAGCTGAATCACCTCATGGGAAAATACATCTACTAGGCTTGCTTGCTAAGCTGAATCATCACAGTGAGAAATACAAGCTGCCTGCTAGCTTTACCTGATGGATCATCACTTGGGAAATGTACAATAGGTTGCTGCATTGTTCGGTACAAATAACTGTACATTGGTATTTATCCTCCATCAGGAAGAAGACAGCTGGACCCTTCATGTTATATAACTTAGTTTGAAAGTGTTTACAATACACTAGAGTTGGTGTTGTGTATAAAAAGCAAATATATTTAGCTGTAAGTACATGTGAATATTGTGTTTATTATTTCAACACGGTGTTTTCTGTGTTTGTCTAGCCTGTGTGGAGTGCCTCAGAATCGACTGAAGGAGCAGCGGTGGCTCGTCCTGGCCGGAAGTCCTATTAAAGCCGCTTGGGCCTGTTGACGGCCACGTCCAGATCAGTCGACGCAAATGTCCGGCCAGGCGCCCCTGCGAGAAGAGTCGGACGGGGGCGGAGGTCGTGACAAAGAGGAACTGAGCCAGAAGGTTGGTGGGGAAAGCCGCGCGTGGAGTTGGTCAGCGGAGGAGGTCCTTCCAGGCATTGATGAACGGTGTCATCCAATGGGGAAGTGAGCCCCGTTGAGGACAGTGGGATTTACTTCTGAGGAAGCCCGTATGGAGCTTCCCTGTAAAGGCCTCTTTCTTCCGTATCCTTTCTGGGATGACAATTTTGAGGGAGCGTTTTCCCAAAAGAGGGTGCAGAAGAGAGCGACGAGGATGATCAGGGGTCTGGAGACTGAGCCCTACGAGGAAAGGCTGAGGGCCCTGGGAACGTTTAGTTTGGAGAAGAGGAGACTGAGGGGGGGACATGATGGCTCTCTTTAAATATCTGAAAGGCTGTCATTTGGAGGAGGGCAGGGAGCTGTTCCAGTCGGCAGCAGAGGAGAGGACCCGAAGCAACGGGTTTAAATCACATGCAGAAAGGTATTGGTTGGATATTAGGAAACACTTTTTCACGGTCAGAGTGGTTCAGAGGTGGAATCGGCTGCCTAGGGAGGTGGTGAGCTCCCCTTCACTGACAGCTTTCAAGAAGAGGCTGGATGAATATTTGTCAGAGATGCTTTAGGCAGGTCCTGCATTGGGCAGGGGGTTGGACTAGATGGTCTTTAGAGACCCTTCCAGCTCTATGATTCTATGAGAATATGGGGAAAGGACTTATCTGGAAGAGAAACAATTTCAGGTTCTTCTTTGTGTAATTCCCCAGTAGTCGTTACTTCTGTCTTCGTCAGCTATAATCCTTCTTCGGCACTTTCTGCTTTAATTTTCACCTGTAGTCATTTCAAGTCCTTCACCATTTTCTGCCAGTGGACGTGCTCCATCCACTCATAACACGCTCGCCATGTTTCCACCCTAAGGACACTTTCCCGGGAGTAACCTCCACTGTATAGATTCGAGTAGGATTCTGAGTAGATCTATTCAGCGGCCTTACTTTATTTTTCTATCATGTATTGTATTGTCTGTCTTTATTTCCATTCAAATCGATTAAGGTAAAAAAACACCCACCCATATATCGATATTCTGACTTGAATAGTAAGCCTAACCCTGAATAAATTCTCCCTCTTGCAGATTAAAGAGCAGAAAGTTGTCGTTGATGAACTTTCCAACTTGAAGAAAAACCGGGTGAGTAACTGCCAAATTGCTTTGGAAAGATGATTACTAGACGGGGGACAGGGAGGTTTGAGGAAATGGACAGAAGATATGGTGGCACTCAGTTCCAGGCGTAGCGGCTGCAGTACGGAAGATGGATTTGCGCTGGCGTAGCTCTGTCATTTGTCACTTGGCATCAGAATGTTAAAAGGCACGCCCATGTGTTTGATGCAGGGGATCTCAATTTGGTGTAGTGGTTAGAAGCATGGACTGTAATCTGGGAGAACCGGATCTGATTCCCCACTCCGCCACATGCAGCTGCTGGTGTGACTGTGGGTCAGTCACAAGTTCTCTCAGAGCTGTTCTCTCAAGGGCAGTTCTCGAGAGAGAGCTCTCTCAGCCCCACCGACCTCACAGGGTGTCTGTTCTGGGGGGGGGGGGAAGGAGATTGTAAGCCGCTTTGAATGGAGGACGGGGTATAAATCCAATCTCTTCTCCTCCTCCTTCTCCTTCAAGCCGGCTGGTTTTGTAGTGTTAAAATGCCTCTTTGGCCGTGTTCATGACTAGGCCTTATTCCCGGGGTCCCCAGTGTGGTAACCTTGTCTAGTGTCCCCCAAGTGTTTGTTAGAAAGTGGGTGGGACGAGGTAGAGCTTTTTGGCCAGCAGGGATTCTGACTGACCGTTGGAGATGCGATTGGCTGTGTTGATTTTTTTTAAATGCCACTTTGGCAGCAGCTGCTGCCACCACAGCACAAGATCTCCACTTTGTGACTGAAGGGGAGCCGCGGCAGCCATTTTGTAGCTGGCTCCGCCTCCTGCAGCCACTATTTAGCAGCAGCCATTTTCTGGCTGCGCCCACCATCCTGTGTCAGAGTCCGAAAGAGGCTCATGGGCTCAGAAAGGTCAGGGACCCTTGCCTTGTTGCATCATGGCAGGACTGGCCAATGCAGTGCTGTTATTTCGGGGTTGTGTAAAGCCGCCCTTCCGGTGGAGATGAGGGCGTGTCTAGTGATCAGGACCAGTTCAAGTTGCGGCGCCAGTGTGACCTTCTTCTCACTATACGCAGGTTTTGGCTGGCAGGTTTTGTCGTAAGATCCAGCTGGAACCCACCCACCCCAACCTCTCTGTGGCACATACGAGGAAGGGGAGGGTTGTATCCTGGCCTCTGTGTAGTTTCCTGGTCTGTTGTAGTTTGTAGATGTCAGCTAGCTGCCATTAAGGCTGGTGGTGGGGACACTGTTCACTCCTTGGAATGTTACTTTCACTTTTCGGTTGTCTGGGTGATGCCTCTGTTATCTGAATGTTTTATGTACTTGTCCTTGGATGCTTTGCTGTAACACCTTCCCTGGGAAAGTGGAGCCCTTACTTTTTGGCGGCCCCTTTCTCCCCCCTCCCATTGGCTCCCGCCCAGTGACCCTCTTTGAACCAGGTATATCTGTCCATCCCGCGCTTTATGCTTTAGTTTTAACACAGAACCTGAAGTATAGATGCTCTGCCAATTAGTTGTTCAGTCGCACAGTCGACTCCGACTCTTCGCGACCCCATGGACAAGATCACGCCAGGCCCTCCTGTCTTCCGCCGTCCTCTGAAGTTTGCTCAATTTCATGTTCATTGCATCGATGACACTGTCTAACCATCTCATCGTTTGCCATACTGATCAATAAACCTTCTTTCTGAAGAAGCGAGTTGTTGATTCTGATTGCTGCAGGAGTCTGACAGTAGATCAAGATGGACGGCCATGTTAGTCTGTCTGTAGCAGCAGAAAAGAGCAAGAGTCCAGTAACGCCTTAAAGACTAACAAAATTTGTGGCAGGGGAGGAGCTTTTGTGAGTCACGGCTCACTTCTTCGGACTCACGAAAGCTCATACTCCGCCGCAAATGTTCTTAGTCTTTAAGGTGCTACTCTTGCTGTTTTCTACTATTGCACTAGAGCCATTGTATAGAAGGTGGTATTCTTATGCTGTGGCTTTGTGGACCTCTGGAATGGGATTCTTCACCCGTGATCACGCATGGAGCCACAGGCACATGGCAGAGTGAATGCTGGGGCAGCCACAGCCCGATAACATCTTATACTAAAGGGCCCTTTCGCACATGCTAAATAGCGCCGTTTTATTCCACATCAGTGACCATTCGCAAGTGGATTTTGCCGTTTCACACAATAAAATCCGGTTACAAAGCGCATGGAAAGTGGATTGATAGCAGCGCATCATTTAGTGTGTGTGAAAGCGCCCAGGTTAACAGAGCAGGCAAATAAGGACTGCTGAAACCAGGATATGTTATCCGTAATAAATTACGAAGTGCCTCAGAGGAGTGGTAGAAAATACTGTCAAGTGGCAGCTGAGTTCTGGCCACCCGGTAGGGTTCCCGAGGCAAGAGACGAACAGGGGTGGTTTGCCATTGCCTGCCTCTGCGTGGCAACCCCAGACTTCCTTGGGGGTCTCCCATCCAAGTACTAACCAGGGCTGATGCTGCTTAGCATCCAAAGTCTGATGAGATCAGGCTAGCCTGGGCCATCCAGGTCAAGGCAAGAGGTGAACGGAGGTGATTTCCCCACTGCCTGCGTCTGCGTAGCAACCCTGGACTTCCTTGGCGGTCTCCCATCCGAGTACTAAGCAGAGCCAGCCCTGCTCAGCTTCCAAAGTCTGATGAGATCAGGCTAGCCTTGGCCGTCCAGGTCAGAGCTACTGAACAAATAAAGGCTCTATCAACATGCTTTCAGTTTAATAAGACAAAAAAGAGAGAGAGAGAGGACACGTTCTAGTTAATAAACCAATGCCTTCCCGTGTTGCAAAGGAATTATTCAATTCTAATGCAGCCGGATATTTTTGTCTTACTTGACTTTCATCTTTTTCTAAGGACGTTACCTAAGCCTCACTTCTTCTTGTTTTGCAGAAAGTATACAAACAGCAGCCCAACAGCTACATATGTTTTCTAGCGGATCGGACCCAGACACTCTCGGAGAGTAGAAGTATGTTCACAAGACTGATTTATTTATTATACCACTCTACCGTTTGTTATTATTTATTATAAGACTTATTTATTCATTCTTTATAATGTTATAGTATAGTATATAAGTGTATTGGATGTGCACTTTGCCCGATTTTTAAGTTGTTCCTTTCGGGAAAACAAATCCACATGGTCCTATACTGCTGTCATATACTCAACGTTGATTATTGATGGTGTTTCTGATATCGGTAAGGAAGGTAGATTGGACTTTTGATCGTTAGGACTGAGGTGGAATCGAAATGTTTAAAACATCTAAGCTGAAAGCCAGATTGGAAGACAAAATATAAAGAGTGAGTCTCATTCTCTGTGGAACTTCTTGGATGAGCAGAGGATGCCGTAGCTGTTAGTTTTAAGCGGAACAAGGTCACTGTTGTAGAAGGTTAGATCCAGGTCTAAAGCAGTAGAACAAAGTTTGGGTCCAGTGTCACCTTTAAGGCCAGGAAAGTTTTATTCAATGAACAAGCTGTTTCAAAAAAAAATATTTACCAAGCACAACAAGACAACACATAACAATAGAATCTCTTTGTTCAGAAAGACACACAATGGGGTTTTGACCTTATGTGCGGCCGTCTCCATTTTACGTAGTCCGTCTCCACATATGCGAAAGGCTGTTGTGGAGAGCAAAGGGTTCTTCAGGTCTCAGGCAGCGCATGCGTTTCTGGCTCTGGTGCAGACATCTGCGAGAATCAGGGCTTTTTTTGTAGAAAAAGCCCAGCAGGAACTTATTAGCATAATAGGCCACACCCAACAGCAGAAACTCATTAGCATATTAGGCCACACCCCTGACAGTGCAGCTCATTGGCATATAAGGCCACACCCCCATGCCTTTCCTTGGCTTGCCCAGGCGCCCCGTGGCTGCGGGGCACCCGGGCAAACTGGCCCTTGGACAAGCCTCCCTGATCCTTTCAGGGCCCCCCCTGGCCTGCCCACCTTGGAGTCCCGGGGGGGGGTCACTCTCCAGGCCTTTCCTCTGTAGCCAGGCACGCAGAGGTTTTGGCTGTAGTGGGCGTGGCCAACTCTGAAGCCAGCCGGAACTCCGTTCCTGTGCGTTCCTGCCCAAAAATAGCCCTGGCGAGAATAATAGCACATCAAGTGCCCTCTGCTGTAGTTGGGGAACCCCCTCTTTCCCCCGTATTAGAAGCAATGTGAGCCTGGTACTGGTACCCCATTTCCCCTGTTCCTGCCCAGTACATCTGATGGATGAAGTTGTTCCGTCATTGGTCTTCTGGTTTGTGGCTCTTGTTTATGAGTCTGTTGTAAACATACAGTGGTTGGACACTGCTGGGTACTTTGAGAGCCAGTTTGGTGTAGTGGTTGGGAGCACAGACTGTAATCTGGGAGAACTGGGTTTAATTCTCCACTCTTCCACATGCAGCTGCTGGTGTGACCATGGGTCAGTTACAAGTTCTTTCAGAGCTGTTCTCTCAGGAGCAGTCCTCGAAAGAGCTCTCTCAGCCCCACCTACCTCACAGGGTGTCTCTTGTGGGGAGGGGAAGGGAAAGGAGAGAGACAGTTTGGTGTAGTGGTTAAGTGCGCAGACTCTAATCAGGGAGGACCGGGTTCGATTCCCCGCTCCTCCACTTGCACCTGGCTGGATGACCTTGGGCAAGCCGTAGTTCTGATAAGGGCTGTTCTTGAAAAAGAGCAGTCTCTGTCAAGAGCTCTCTCAGCCCCACCCACCTCACAGGGTGTCTGTTGTGGGGAGGGGAAGGGAAAGGAGTTTGTAAGCCGCTCTGAGACACCTTTGGGTAGTGAAGGGCGGGGTATAAATCCAATCTCTTCTTCTTCTTCTAAGCCGCTCTGAGACTCCTTCGGGTAGTGAAAGGCGGGGTATAAATCCAATCTTGTCTTCTTAAAATATCTTGGTGACAGTTTTGCTAATATGCTAAGATGTTTAGTCCCCCCCCCCCCTTTTCTCTTCATAGATGCATTGGATGAACTGAGGAAGGCGTACCAGGAAATAGAAAATTCAGAGAAAGCCAAAATCAAGAAATAGATCAACCGAGCAATAGTTTTGCAATGTGTGGCATTTGTTGTGTGGTCAGCCTGTCCCATTGTCCTCCCGTCAGTTGGCTCTTGAAAGAGGGGATCCTGCGTAGTCTCAAAAGGAGAGGGCCAGACAGCAGCCAACAGTTAATCAAATCCGTCCTCGATCTGCCGTATCAATGCTTGTTTTCTGGCCACGTACTTCACTTAAGGGGACTAATGACTCCTCAGCCCCTGGAAGATACCGTGACTGGAAACGTCTTCCTTTGGAATGGAGAAATCTTTGGTGGCGTCCATGTTGAGGCTGAAGAGAATGACGCTCAAGTCCTGTTCCGCCATCTTTGTTCTTGTGGAAGCAAACTGGACGTCCTGTCGGTCTTGTCTTCCGTTCGGGGTCCCTGGTCGTTTGTGTTTTATGAGGCATCCAGACATCGCTTATGGTTTGGAAGAGATTACTTTGGCCATCACAGTCTGTTGTGGCAGTTTAACGAGGACCGTGGCAGCGTCCTCGCTCTCTCTTCTGTGAGCACGATTCCCGAAACGGGCAACCCGTGGCTAGAGGTTCCGGCGGCTGGAATTTTCAAACTGGATCTCCGGGTCTGTGCCGCATCCCAAGGTGTGGTTTTAACATTGCATCCGTGGCAGTGTTCTCCCAGTGAGAACGGAACTGAAGAAGCAATCGTCGGGGACCAAAATCTGGTTTTGAAAGATTTGCCAAGTTACGTGTCTCTTGAAGTGAACAAGGGCCACTCATTGGTCACGCCTGTCGTTCCTTTAAATATGAAGGTTCTTGAAGTGCCGGAGGAATCCCAGTTCTCCAGTTTTGCCGACAGTGTAGTCGATGCTGGAAGTCTTCAGAGGTTTCTTGCAGAGCCACTGAAGAAGAAACTAGTTCAGCAGTTCATTGGTGTTTTGAGTGGCGCAGTAGAGAAGCGAGTTTTATATGTGGTTAGAGATCTGAATCCGATAGATGGAGAAATGTCGGAGGCCGCTCTGCGGAGGCCCCACGTTGCCATATTGTTTTCGGGGGGCATCGATTCCATGCTCCTAGCGAGCTTGGCTGATAGACACGTGCCTTCGGGCGAACCCATCGATCTTCTCAACGTGGCGTTCGCCAATCCCCGTCAAGTTGGACAAGGCAATCCCGCTCGGAAACGTAACAAGGAGAGAAGATGGTCGCCTCGTTCAGAATGCCTTAACAATGCCAATACGGCAGCCAGCGAGCCTTTGTCCTGCTTTAATGTGCCCGACAGAATCACTGGAAGGGCAGGACTGGAAGAACTTCAAGCGTTGAGTCCTTCCAGGTCTTGGAATTTCGTGGAGATCAACGTTACCCTCGAGGAATTGAAAGCCACGAGAGAGCAGCGGATAAGCCACTTGGTTTACCCTCTGGACACCGTTTTGGACGACAGCATCGGCTGTGCCGTGTGGTTCGCCTCCAGAGGAGAAGGTCTGGTTACTCGCCAGGGAGACACAAGACCCTATAAAAGTCCCGCAAAGGTATGGAGCAGGGGTGGCCAGACTCGCTTGACGTAAGAGCCACACAGAATAAACGTCAGATGTTTGAGAGCCGCAAGGCATGAACACATATCACACATGCGTGTTTGTTGGAAAGCAAGAAATTGCAAGTAGATAAATAGGGACCACTTCGGTGGGAAGGTAACAGCGTTCCGTGCGCCTTGGTGTTTAGTCATGCCGGCCGACATGACCACGGAAACGTCTTCAGACAGCGCTGGCTCTTTGGCTTGGAAACGGTCTACAGGACTCTACTGGTAGCAGGAGCTCCTTTGCATATTAGGCCACACACCCCTAGTGTAGCCAATCCTCCAAGAGCTTACAGAGCTCTTCTTACTGGGGCTACTGTAAGCTCTTGGAGGATTGGCTACACTAGGGGTGTGTGGCCTAATATGCAAAGGAGCTCCTGCTACCAGTAGAGCCCTGGGTCACGGAGATGAGCACCGCAACCCTAGAGTCGGATTCGACTGGCTTTCGAGCAAGGGAAACCTTTACCTTTTTGTGCACATTTGCTTTTTATCAACATTAAACGAGCCTGCCAAAAAATAAAAACAGAAGGGGTACAAACGGATATCGATCATGATATTTATTTGTCCAGTGATATTTGTAGGGTTGTGGGGTGGACGTGCTTTGAGAACGCATTTAAAGTTAAAGTTGCTTTCTTTCTCCCGCCCCACCCCCACCCCCTGGCCTCGAGCCTACCCAGGGAGGGGAACACCGGCCGGGGAAGGGAAGACCGATCGGTGAGGCCTGCCTCCCCTTCGCTTCCTTTTGAAGCATGGACGGCTTCAAGAGGGAATTAGATGAGCATATGGAGCAGACGTCCATCAGTGGCTATGAGCCACAAGGTATAGATAGGGACTCTGGGGCAAGTGATGCTCTGTCATCTTGGTGCTTGGGGGGGGCAACAGTGGGAGGGCTTCTAATGTCCTGGCCCCACTGGTGGACCTCCTGATGGCACTGGTATTTCTGGCCACTGTGTGACACAGAGTGTTGGACTGGATGGGCCTTTGGCCTGATCCAGCACTGGCATCTCTTATGTTCTTATGTTCCCCAGCCGCCCTACCGGGAGCCACACAGTATGTGTGAAAGAGCCAGACGTGGCTTCCAAGCGGCGGTTTGGCCACCCCTGGAATGCAGCTGTGGACCAGCTTGCCGAGAAAAGCAAGCAGAGAGCCACTCGAAGCGTATGTTAAGCGTAGGCACATTCTGATAAGCCTGTAAATAATGTTTATCAAGTTCCGTCCCAAGCATCGCTTGCACGCTGATGGAGCAGCCCTTCCCCGCCTCCCCCTTCCTGGTTCGGCCCCCTGGAATCCTATTCCTGTGGCTCAGAGGACCCTCAAATTGGGGAGGTGGCCATGGCTCAGTGGCAAAGCCTTTGCTTTGCATGCAGAAGGTCTCTGGTTCAATCCCCGGCGTCTCCAGTTGAAAAGGACCAGGCAGGAGGTGATAGGAAAGACCTCCGCCTGAGACCCTGGAGAGCAGCTGCCAGTCTGAGTAGACAATCCTGGCCTTGATTTACCAAGGGTCTGATTCAGTAGAAGGCAGCTTCGAGTGTTCAAGAATATTTGGAGAGATTTTTTTTTTGGGGGGGGGGGGCCTTTCCAGCTTTTGTGAGTCAGTTTAAACTAATTTATTTTAGTTTTTAAAAAAGTTTTATTTTGGATGCATCTGAAGCAGGATTTCCTGAAGTTAACATTGGCTGTATAAAATAAAACAGGCTGTGTTTTAGTCTGCTTTGAACCGTATTTGGAAGGTGGGATAGTCCATGGTTTAATTGAGAGCCAGTCTGGTGTAGTGGTTAAGTGCGCGGACTCTAATCTGGGAGAACCGGCTTTGATTCCCCACTCCTCCAGTTGCACCTGGCTGGATGACCTTGAGCAAGCCATAGTTCTGATAAGAGCGGTCCTTGAAAAAGAGCAGTTTCTGTCAGAGCTCTCTCAGCCCCACCTACCGCACAGGGTGTCTGTTGTGGGGAGGGGAAGGGAAAGGAGTTTGTAAGCCGCTCTGAGACTCCTTCGGGTAGTGAAGGGTGGGGTATAAATCCAATCTCTTATCTCCTCTTCTTGAGCAAGTGCCAATAAGACAGCACGTGTTTGTATTCCACGGTAGGTCGTGCTCACGGGAATCGGAGCCGACGAACAGCTTGCCGGTTATTCCCGACACCGTGTTTGCTTTCAAAGACACGGCTTCGAGGGCTTGAACGAGGAACTAAGGATGGAGCTGGGCCGTATTTCTTCTAGAAACCTTGGTCGAGATGACAGAGTGATTGGAGATCACGGGAAAGAAGCGAGGTAAGGATGCACGCTGCTGGAAATCCTTTGGGGTGTGGGTAATGTTCAAGTCCAGATTCTCTTCGCTTTAGTCTGATACTACACGGGTGGGGAGGGAAGGTGGCGTTGCATAGCCCGATCTCGTCAGATCTCAGAAGCTAAGCAGAGTCTGTTCTTAGGAGGCCACCAAGGAAAATTCTGCAGAGGGAGACAATGGCAAACCTCTTCTGCTTCTCCCTTGAGAGAGCCAGTTTGGTGTCATGGTTAGGAGCGCAGACTCTAATCTGGGAGAACCGGGTTTGATTCCCCACTTGTCCACATGCAGCTGGGTGACCTTGGGTCAGTCACAAGTTCTCTGAGAACTGTTGTCTCAGGAGCAGTTCTCGAGAGAGCTCTCTCAGCCCCACCTACCTCACAGGGTGCCTGTTGTGGGGAGGGGAAGGGAAGGAGATTGTAAGCCGCTCTGAGACTCCTTCGGGTAGTGAAGGGCGGGTTATAAATCCAGTCTCCTGTCCTTCTTCCTCCTCCCCCTCCTCCCTTGAGAGCCAGTTTGGCTCCTTCCACCAAGGAAGCCTTGGCAGAGGAAGGCCATGGCCAACCCCCTCTGCCTCTCCCTTGCCTTGGAAGCCCCTTGCTGGGGTTGCATAATTCAGCTGTGACTTGACAGCGCTTACATCTGTACTAGGAGCTGCGGTGGCTCAAGTGGTTAAGACGCTGAACTGCAGGCTGTGGAAGGTCGGTAGTTCAGCAGTTCGAGACCCGAGTGCCGCATGACGGAGTGAGCTCCCGTCTCTAGTTCCAGCTCCTGCCAACCTAGCAGTTCAAAAGCAAGAAATTGCAAGTAGATAAATAGGTACCACTTCGGTGGGAAGGTAACAGCGTTCCGTGCACCTTGGCGTTTAGTCATGCCGGCCACATGACCATGGAAACATCTTCGGACAGCGCTGGCTCTTCGGCTTGGAAACGGAGATGGGCACCACAACCCTAGAGTCGGATTCGACTGGCTTTCGAGCAAGGGAACCTTTACCTTTACATCTGTACTACACGGTGGCTTGGATCCAGCGATGTGCCGGCAGGAACGTAAATGGATTGCATGCAGTTCTCCTTGTGCAGCTCGAGCGCCTTTATGTTACAGTGCTGAGAAATTGGTTGCATAAGCAGAAGGACAAATGGGGAGACGAAGTGACTTTGCAGAAGTGGGTGTCCTGGTCTTTTTCTTGCATTTCTGCTCACACAAGAATAGAAGAAGAAGAAGAGATTGGATTTATACCCCGCCCTTCACTCGGAGTCTCAGAGCGGCTCACAAACTCAGAGCTCTCTCAGCCCCACCCTTCCCCTCTCCACAGCAGACACCCTGTGAGGCAGGTGGGGCTGAGAGAGCTCTTTCCAGAACGGCTCTTGAGAGAACAGCTCTGAGAGAACTTGTGACTGACCCAAGGTCCCCCAGCAGCTGCAAGTGGAGGAGTGGGGAATCAAACCCGGTTCTCCCAGATTGGAGTCTGCTCACTTAACCACTACACCAAACTGGCTTTAGTGCGAGTGGAAATGTTGCCCTGGATCCAAACCAACTTTTGTACATGATATTTATTTTAATTAATCTAATTAATCCATACCCTGTCTGTCTCCCTATTGAGGATCCAAAAGTGGCTCACAGTGTTCTCCTTTCCTCCAGTTTATTGTCCCCACAACCCTGTGAGGCAGGTTAGGCCGAGAGCGTGTGACTGGCCCAAGGTCACCCAGCGGGCTTCCATGGAGCGAGTGGGGATTCGACCTGGGTCTCCCAGGTACTACTAGTCTGACACTCTTAACCAAGATGGTTAGCCGTATTACTAGTCTGTCTGTAGCAGTAGAAAAGAGCAAGAGTAGAGTAGCACCTTAAAGACTAACAAAATGCGTGGCAGGGGAGGAGCTTCCGTGAGTCCCGGCTCACTTCTTCAGATACAGCTCGAATGTGAGTCCATCTGTCCTTACATCTTGGAGAGAGGAGTGCTACTGTCATTCGGCATCTGAAATCACCCCACTCTTCAAGATAGAAAGACAGATGGACTCATAGTCTAGCTGTATCTGAAGAAGCGAGCAGTGACTCACCAAAGCTCGTCCCCTGCCACAAATCTTGTTCGTCTTTCAGGTGCTGCTGGACTCTGGCTCTTTTCTGCTGAAGAAGTGAGCAGCAGCTCATGAAAGCTCCTCCCCTGCCACAGATTTCTCTGACCTTCATCATTTGGGGGGTTCTTATCACACTCTGAAGAGCTGCGGTGGCTCAAGTGTTTAAGACGCTGAACTGCAGGCTGTGGAAGGTCGGTAGTTCAGCAGTTCGAGACCCGAGTGTGCCGCATGACGGAGTGAGCTCCCGTCTCTAGTTCCAGCTCCTGCCAACCTAGCAGTTCGAAAGCAAGAAATTGCAAGTAGATAAATAGGTACCACTTCGGTGGGAAGGTAACAGCGTTCCGTGCACCTTGGTGTTTAGTCATGCCGGCCACATGACCACGGAAACGTCTTCGGACAGCGCTGGCTCTTCGGCTTGGAAACGGAGACCCTAGAGTCGGATTCGACTGGCTTTCGAGCGAGGGAACCTTTACCTTTACCTTTATCACACTCTTCCTCTTCAAAACACACACCTGCTCACACACACAATTTAAAAAACAGGCTGTGATCACACACACTAAATAATCCACTTCAACCCACTTTCAATCCACTTTTGAATCTGAAGTTGCCAGTTCACACAGTAAAAATCCAGTCGGAAAGTGGATTGAAAGTGGATTATTTAATGTGTGTGATCGCAGCCACACACTTATTCTGAGAATAAAGTAATTATCAGACTTGTTCTTAACTTCGTCTTAAAAACTAACAGTCGCACTTGGTGTCGTTTGCCGTTTCAGGTTTCCGTTTCTCGACGAGGCGGTTGTGTCTTTTCTGAACTCCCTCCCCGTGTGGGAAAAAGCAGACCTGACTCTCCCCCGGGGCATCGGAGAGAAACTGCTCTTGCGGCTGGCGGCTGCGGAGCTTGGCCTGACGACCTCCTCAGTCCTCCCGAAGCGGGCCATGCAGTTCGGTTCCAGGATTGCAAAGCTGGAAAGCGGCAGCGAAAGGGCGTCAGACAAATGCGTGCGACTCCAGTCGGGTTCAGTAGAGGATTTCTCCACACGGGGCCCGAAGCCGCTTTTAAAAGAAGTTAATCTACACAGTGGACAGTTTTCTGCGAACTTCGTTAACAGCTGAGGGGGGAGGATTTGCGTTTTTTGAATTGAGAGGAGTTTCACAAGAAGTTTTAGTTACTTAAGTAGGCCCAAAAGCTGTGTGGAAGTTCACCTGGGATAGGGGCCAAGGGGCGTGGGGAAGGTGGCGTGGCGGCAGGACAACCCGGTGCGATGAGCTAAACAAGCTTACGGATTTTGCCCTGCCTGAGAGGAGAAAGGAAATATGGCCATCTTGAGACCAAGCTTCCAGATTATTCCGTGGTGGTAAATTACAACGTAGCCCAACACAGCCTGAGGGGTGTGGTTCCTGTGTTCCTCCTGGATCTCAGCCCCCCCCCCACTCCAACCCCAGTTCCTGTCTGGCCGCCATTTTGAGATCTTGGCCTGGTATGCATAGTTGTCCACCTAGCTGAGTCTCTGTCCCTATGGCATTTCACTGTGTCCCAGCCCTGCTTAGGGCGTATTGACATATACCCCCAGGCCAACTAGCCGTGGCCTAAGCATATCTAACGGGTCCACATAGTCGCCACAGGCTTTCCCTCCCGTCTCTCTGGCTCATCTCCCAGTGATATCTCGACCATGAGGTCCTCTGCTTGTCCAAGCTCTGCCAGATAGCGGAAGGGTGAAGTGGGCGGCAGCATCATCTTGCCTCTCGTTCACTAGAACACAGTTGACAACGAAGTGATGCCAAAGGCACTTAGGACTAATTTCAACCGGATTGGACCTGTGTTGTTTCGGAAGGTTTTTCTTCTCTGTGAAATAAAGGGTGTGTGTTTTTTTTACCTCAGAGTTTGTCTGTTCTTAACATGTCAATGTAACATTTTAAATGAATGTTTTAAGTTCATCACAGCCAAAGGAGCCACGAAGATCCTAGAGCAACGCTTGGTGAATTCTGCTTCACGGTGATTGGAAGAGCCGATCCTAGAGCAATGTGACCAGCTCTGAACATTAAAATCCACATTTGAAGCACTGTCCCCTTCCGTATGTTCCTGTGCGCCAACTACAGTTGCCAGGCAGCCATTTTGTTGGCTGCCCCACCACTTTGGGTGGCCCGTCTAGCATCGACCAGAGCCTGGGCCTTTTCCATCAGGGCCCCCTGATAAACTGAGGAGTCCCCCTCTTGGGAGATCTTCGGGGGATGCTGTAAGGCCTGCCTGTTAGCCAGGCCTTTTGAGGGGGGTTGAACTGCAGACATCTTTTAAGGGGGAAGGGAGAGAGGTTTGGGGTTTGCTTTTGGGGGGGGGGTTAGCTGAAAATTGTTTTTAACTTATTGTGAGCCATCTTGAACCATGAGGAAAGGCAGGATAATAATGTTTTAATAAATTAATAATTTCTGCTTGTTCTAACATATGAACATACATTCTTCTATAGACAAGTATCTGATGCACCCATACCCTGGATCTGCTGCCTGGGCAAATCCTCTGAATCCCAGTGCCAGGAGGCAACATCAGGGGAAGGCCTCGGCCTCTCTGCCCTGTTGGACCTCCAGAGGAACTGGTTGGCCACTGTGAAACTGGATGCTGGACCAGATGAACCGCTGGTCTGATCCAACAGGGCTCTTATGTTCTTAGGAAGGCCTCGACCTCTATGCCCTGTTGTTCGCCCTCCAGAGGAACTGGTTGGCCACTGTGAGAGACAGGATCCTGGACTAGATGGACCACTGGTCTGATCCAGCAGGGCTCTTCTTATGTTCTTGGGAAGGCCTCAGTCTCTGTGCCCTGTTGTTGGCCCTCCAGAGGAACTGGTTGGCCACTGTGTGAAACAGGATGCAGGACTAGATGGACCACTGGTCTGATCCAGCAGGGCTCTTCTGATGTTCTGAGGAAGGCTTTGGCCTCTCTGCCTTGTTGTTGGCCCTCCAGAGGAACTGGTTGGCCACTGTGAGTCAGGATGCTGGACTAGATGGACCCTCACTGGTCTGATCCAGCAGCGCTCTTCTGATGTTCTTAGGAAGGCCTCAGTCTCTCTGCCCTGTTGTTGGCCCTCCAGAGGAACTGGTTGGCCACTGTGTGAGACGGGATGCTGGACCAGATGGACCACTGGTCTGATCCAGCAGGACTGTTACGCTCTTTTTACTCTGCAGTGCATTTGAGACGTGACAAAAGGCTTAATTGTTTTCCCTGTGTGAACCATATTGTGGCAATACCAATGGGATACGTAGTAGAATTGCCTGTTTGGAAACAATATGTTGATACAGTCTTCTTAGACTGAGTTCATGGTACAGTGTACACAGCAGAATGTTTCAGAGTGCTATCTATATATCTAATACCCAAGCCGCCCCGTCTGTGCAGATCGCTAAATCCGCGCTCCGGGGCAACCTGGGGGGCAGGGAGAGTTTTGTGCACTCTTGGGGTGCACAAAAATCTAAAAACTAAAAAAAAATATCAGGGGGATATTGAAATCCCCCCGAAAGTGTCAGAGCGTCCATGTGCATGTGCACGGAACGCTCTGCGGAGGCCGCCGTCGCCGCCATTTGGAAGGCGAGTGGCGAGCAGGGGGGGCAGAGGGGCGAGCGGCTCGCCGCTCGGCCCTGGCTCGGAGCCGGTGTGGGTGGGGAGAGCAGCGAGGGGCGACGGCACGGCTTACCTCCCTCCCTCCCCGCCCTCCCTCCCTCCCCTCTCTGCCCTGTTGCTGGCCCTCCAGAGGAACTGGTTGGCCCCTGTGTGAGACGGGATTCTGGACCAGATGGACCACTAGTCTGATCCAGAAGGACTGTTACGTTCTTCTTACTCTGCAGTCCATTTGAGATGTGACAAAAGGCTTAATCGTTTTCCCTGTGTGAACCATATTGTGGCAATACCAATGGAATACGTAGTAGAATTGCCTATTTAGAAACAATATGTTGATACAGTCTTCTTAGACTGAATTCATGGTACAGTGTACACAGTAGAATGTTTCAGAGTGCTATGTTAAAATAATGCTGAGGACTGTACCACATTCTGTTTCCGGATGAGCCAGGTCTTTGTGTGAACTGAGTGGGGGCTACCAGCTGTTAGAGGAAGCTGCCATTTTAAAGGTGGGAGACCAACCTATCCATGGTCTCCCTGTCTTTCAGACTTCCTCATAGTTGGCCTCCCTCATTGTTCTAGGACCTCCATAGCAACAACAACTAGGTTCTAATCCCATGGCTTTCAGTAGGCAAGTCTGGTGGAGATGCAAAGTGAGTGTTCTTTAACCCTGAGGGTGGAAGCAGTAGATGATTGTGGTGTATGTATGGGCTGGTTTTTCGATAATGCCACTCAAATGTAGCGGTGGTACTTTTTGTTGCCGGGCACTCGTCTTTTGAGATTGCTGTCTCTGGTAATACTTCGGTTTGTGGCACCCATAACTCTAAAGACACAATGAGGGTGGACCTTCAGGAGCACAGATGATTGACTCTAATGCCCAGGGCTGATTGAAGGTATTGGTTTGGACCCAGCTAGGGTCAAAAGTTGAGGCCAGGTATCGGGGAGGGCGGCCTAGAAATCTAATGATAAATAAATAAAAAATTGGGTCTGTGGCTCAGTGGCAGAGCATCAGCTTGGCATGCAGAAGGTCCCACATTCAACCCCCAGCATCTTCAGTTAAAAAGAATCGGGTAGAAGGTGTACTAAAAGACCTCAGCCTGAGACCCGGGTGAGGCCTTGCCAGTCTCAGTAGACAATACTGCCCTTGATAGACTGATTAGAATCAAAGAGTTGGAAGGAACCTCCAGGGTCATCTAGTCCAACCCCCTGCACAATGCAGGAAATTCGCAACTTCCTCCCCCCCACAGTGACCCCTGCTCCATGCCCAGAAGATGGCAAAAAACCCTCCAGGATCCCTGGCCAAACTGGTCTGCAGAAAATTGCTTCCTGACCCCAAAGTGGCAATCAGGATTTTCCTGGGCGTGTAAGAAAGGGCCACGAGAACTAAGCACTGATGGTCTGATTCGGTATAAGGCATCTTCATGTGAAAACCCTTGTAGACTGGACGTTTGTCCTTTGCCGCTAATGACTAGGAGTGAGCAGAGACCCAGTGGAACATTGGCCCCATTTCTCCTTACAGTGCCTCCAGCAGTTGCCCAGGTGACCTAACTAGAGGACCGACACCGTTAAAGCCTGTAGCCACTTTGTACTTGGGTTGTAGCTCAGAGGGAGAGCCTCTGCTTGCCATTTCTCCATTTAAATGGCTTCTCCATTTAAAAGCATCGGGCGGGAAGTGATGTGAAAGACCTTCGCCTGAGACCCTGGAGAGCCACTGCCAGTCTTAGTAGACAATACTGTTCCGTGCCCAGAAGATGACGAAAGACCTCCAGGATCTCCGGCCAAACTGGCCTGGAGAAAAATGGCTTCCAGGCCCCAAAGTGGCCATCGGCATTTCCCCGGACGTGTCAGAAAGGGCCACAAGAACTAAGCGCTGAGGAAACCCTTCCCGCCCGCCCTCTCCTGATCTGCCCAAGTTCACAGCATTGCCGTCAGGTGGCCTTTTAGGAAAGGTTTCAAGAAGATCAGTAAGGCCGTTAAACGCCAGTTTGGTGTAGTGGTTAAGTGTGCGGACTCTAATCTGGGAGAACCGGGTTTGATTCCCCACTCCTCCACTTGCACCTGCTGATGTGACCTTGGGTCAGTCACAAGCTCTGGCACAGCTGTCCTTGAAAAAGAGCAGCTTCTGTCAAGAGCTCTCTCAGCCCCACCCACCTCACAGGGTGTCTGTTGTGGGGAGGGGAAGGGAAAGGAGTTTGTCAGCCGCTCTGAGACACCTTTGGGTAGTGAAGGGCGGGGTATAAATCCAATCTCTTCTTCTTAATCAGTTGCTTTTTTCCCCCTTTCTAAAAAGCTGTATTTTGAAACACCAGAACGGAAGAGGGTGGAAGAATGTTGAGGCCGATCAAGAAGCCGCTACCTAGAAACGACCAAGCCGATGAGGCGGCTTACTTAGCGCAGTTAGCCGCCCAGAGGAACGCCAGTGCCTTCTTCGAGAAATACGAGCGGAGTGAGCTCCAGGAGTTACTCACCACCTCTTTCTGCAGCTGGTTGTCCTCCAGAGATGACCTGCGCCATCCCTTAGAGTTCCCCAGTGGGCTCATCACCCAGATGAAAAACATAGCTGTCCCTACAGTGATCTTGCTCACACCAGTGGAGCCGGGAATCGATTTGGATGCGAAGGAGATCCACCAGATTGTCCGGGAGTTGGCTGTCGGGATTTATTGCCTGAACCAAATCCCCTCCATCAGTTTAGACGCCAATTACGACCAGAGCACTTCTTGTTCGCTTCCTCCAGCGTACTACGATACGAGAATCGGTCAAATGTTGATCAGCGTCGACTACATCCTGAAGGCTTTATGGCACGGGGCGTACATGCCCAAAGAGAAACGTGTGAGATTCTCCGAACTGTGGCGTTCTAGCATGGACATTGATGCGGACGGGGCCCCCCAGACCGAGAAAACGGCCTGTGCAGAGTTTTGTTCAGCGGGTAAGAACAACAGTTGTGAGGATGGCGTCAAGTGTTGATGCATTTTATACATGGAAAACACTCTGCTGTAGAGAGACGTCTGCAAAATTCACTTAGAACAGGACTCCCCAACTTGGTGCCCATGGGTTAGGGGGGCCCCAATCCACCACCGACCAGCTGGCCGGCGGGGAAGCCCCACCCCTGAACAGCAGCGTCCCGGGGCGACGTTGCCGACATGATGACATTACTGGTAGTGACATCATCCTGGGGCCATCATGCTGCGACGCTCTAGCATACAAGGGGGAAACTCTATGGTTACTGTAGAGTTTTTGTCC